AAAAGAATGTCCACACCTTTATCTCTGTGGTTCTGTCAGGCGGCCATGGCTGCTCTGATCCTTTCCCCACATGGTCTCACCGAAGGTGGCAGCTCCTGGAGCAGCTGAGTGTCTGAATTAGAAAGCAATGGATATCTTGCTTCTGCTATAAATTCCCCCAGCTGTAAGTCTTCCAACCTTCTAAATATTCCTTTATGTGTGGTTCAGAGTTCTGGGACCAGCCCCTGAGCCTGCTTAGTCCTGTGTTCTGTGTGGCTGCTGATGGCTCCTTACTGCACTTACACCCGATCCACCATCTTGTTTGGTTCCTTCAAACTGCTGATCTTTTGATTAACAACCCAATGCTTACCTCCATGTGCCACCAGGACACCTTTGTAAAGATTGTTGTTAAAGTGTCGTTGAGTGGACTCTGACTCATAGCAACCCTGCATAGGGTTTCTGGGAAGCTGCTGGTGGGTTTTAAACTACCCACCTTTCAGTTAACAGTCCAGTACATATTTACAGCATCACACCAAGTCTCCTCTGTAAAGATCGTTGTTGGTTTTAAGTACTGTTGAGGCAGTTCTGACTCAGGGAGATCCTGTATAGGGTTTTCAAGGAGTGACTGGTGAGTTTGAGCTGTCACCCTTGCAGTGTTTATCCTACGGCACCATACCACCTTGGAAATCCTATATGGGAGTTCTACCTTACAGAGTCGAGTCATAATCAACTCGATGCGGGCCAATTAACTGTTTTTTTTATAGCATTTATCACTGCTAGTAATTTTATTGCCTCTTAGCTCTGAATTTACCTGTTAATGTAGATCTTGTGATAAACAGCAGAGGTCCTTTTAGCACTTGTTCTTTCCCATGAGCACTGCGGAGGGGACTGGATGGATGTAGCAGGGGGAAGAACTTCCTGCAATGTCTGGTTTAGGTTGATGATGGGAGGGGTCAACGACATGGCTCCAGCACAGGGTCCCTATGGGATGGTGTAGCCTTGGCCTGGCCCTCTCTTCCTCAAAGCCAGCTGCCTTCACAAAGCTCTGCATGTAGCTGTCTGGAGTCCAGAGGACCATCCCTCCCAGTCCTCTGAAGTCCTCCTTAAGCAGCTGACCTCTGAACTCCTGTATCACCCCTTCCTCCACCAGGGTGTCCTATTGTTTGTTAAGTGACTCCAGACCAGTTACTTTGTGGCTAAACTGGAGACCCAATGGCTGGACTACTTACAGTGAATTCTAAATCCTGTCCAAGTCTATCCTTCCATATGTATTCACATAGTTCTAGGAACTTTATGGATATCCTAATCATTCTTTCTACGAACCCTGTCCTAACACACCCCCACCAGGTGCCAGGTAGCCTCATGGCCCCTGACACACACTGTGAACCTCTCTGTTCTGCCACTAAGCTTTGCTTGTCTCCTGGTGTACAGCCATTTAGCAGGTGCCCAGCAGGGCTGTGGGGTTCTGTAGTCAAAGAGCCAGTTCAGAGGTGGCTGATTAAGATGGAGGAGAGGTGAAGCAGGAGGGGAGAGAAAGAAGGGGAGAGGACAAAAGGGCAAGGAATCACTGGAGGAGGAAAAGGAAAAGGGACAGGATTAGAGAAAAAGGAGGGAGAGGAGGGAAAAGGAAAGAGGGAGGGAAAAAAAAGGAGAGAGAGAAAGGAGAAGGCAGGGTGATAGGCGAGGGGAGGAAGGGTCAGAAACAGAGGAAACTAGATAAAAGGATTTAGGATGTGGAGGCCTGAGAAGACGGGATAGAGTGGGGAGGGATGGAACGTGAAAGCCAGCCGGGCCCCACATGTTGTGAACATTCCTCAGAATTCATCACCACCACATGCTTTCGCTGGCCCTGGAGTGACATCCAGCGTGGACTTGGCTGCCCAAGTGTAGCCCTGTTGGAGGGCTTTAGTTCAGGAGGGTGTAGTGTGCAGCACTGGCCTCCAGGAGGCGCAGGTGTGTAGGGTGGTTGAGATGAGTGGAGACCAGTGAGCCAGGAGACAGCCTGGGGAGGTACTGATGTGGCTGGGAAGGAGGAGCCTGTCCGGATCACTCATTAGGCCTGTAGAGCACAGGGTTTGTTTGGGACTTTATTACAGTGGTGGGAGGTGTTTCAGGAGGTGGCCAAGAGTTGAAGGTAGCCCCAGGAGGTGAGTGGTAATGGTAATACAGATTGAGAGTCACTGGAACTGAAATAATCTAGCATGGGGTCTGATCTCCTCTGGATGCACCAGATGGTCAAACCAGAAAATAATTCTACTCAGTCCATAGGCAGACCCAGCCTTCAATCCCCAGTGCCTATTCCCTGTGCTTTCCTGATCCAGTAAACTGCCTGCTAGGGTCCCTTACCCCAGAGCATCCTGGAGCTGAGGCTATGGCACTCCTGTGGGGGCTCCCCATTTTAGAGGTGAAGATCACCCCTGCCAGCACCTCAAGACCATGGAAACCCCCATAAGAGAAAGATGAGGGCCAGAGGAAATTTGAAGCCAGAAGCAAAAATCATTTACAACTCTGAAGAGGGGGTAATCTTTCCAATCACAATTTAAAACCAGACACCTCAGAGAACACCTGGCAAATTCACCTATATTCAGAACAAAAGAAAAACTTTCTGCAAGGCAAAAATCATCCTACGCAAACTCATGAGACCCATACTCAATTCTAATAAATACCTGCAATGAAGAGTTGGCATTACTAGTGGATAAAGGTTTCCTGAACATTGGGTGAGGAAGACCAAATCCCAGGGAAATGTAGGCATAAGATTCCAACAGATGGTTCCTAGACAAAGACCATAAGTGGAACTCATTAAAAACCCAGCTGCCATTGATTCAATTCTGTCTCATGATGATCCATGTGTAGCATAGACCTGTGCTCCATGCAGTTTTCAGTGGTTGACTTTTTAGAAGATTGCCAGACCTTTTATTTGCAGAAAATTTGTTTTCTCTTGCTCTAAATGTAGGTGGATTTACCAGTGTTTCTCTGCCCATTGTGCCTATGGGTGGATTTGCACCGCCAACCTTTCAGTTAATGGCTTAGTGCATTAACCATTTGTTCCACTAAGGACATTAAATGACTCATAATTAAAACCAAACCAAGTTGATTCTGACTCATAGCGACCCTAAGGGAATAAAGTAGACTTGTCCCCTAGGGTTTCCAAGGCTATAATCTTTATGGAAGCAGATTGTCACAGCTTTCTCCCACCAAGTGGCTGGTGAGTTCGAACTTCTGACCTTTTTGTTGTACTTAACCATTGTACGTACTACCAAGGTTCCATATTGTTGTTGTTGGTATGTATTGCTGAGTCAGTTCTGACTCATAGCAACCCTGTATAGGGTTTCCAAGAGTGCTAGTGGGTTTGAACCGCTGACTTTGTGGTAGCAGCCCAGTTTATCCTATAGTGCCACACCAGGATCCCCCAAGGGCTCCATGGATGTATGAAAAGAGGCCAATTTCCCGTACACCAAGCAAGCAACTGTCAGATATGTTTCTTAACCTTAGCAAAGAAGCTTGTTGGTGATGCTCTGGGGTACATAGTTCAGCAAGGCTATACTACAGGTGAGTCACATGGTCCAGCTGCACTCTTTTGACAATGTCTCCTGAAGCTCCCTTGCACACCTGCCATGACACATACATGCAAGGAGCACAGCACAAAATGACTCAACTGTCTGCCTACAAAGGATATAAGTCTATGAGGACCCACATGGCTGGGCCAAGGTGCAGGAGGTGGAGGGCTCCTTGGACATGAGGCCAATGCATCTTGTGGTTCCGGTGCTGAGAGAGAGAGAGAGAGAGAGGAGGTGTGCATGGTCAGCTCCCTTTGTGACGGGAAGGGGTCACAAGAATATAGCCTTTGCTTCTCTTAGGACAAATTGTGAGGACATGACTTATATGACTACTTTTGACCTATAGAAACCACAATTTAATTTGGTCTGGTGTGGCACTATAGGATAAGCACTGGACCACAAGGTCGGTTTGAACTGAAAGGCTGGCAGTTCAAAACTCACCAGCCGCTCCTTGGATACCCTATACAGGGATGCTATGAGTCACAACTGACTTGATGACACTTAACAACAACAACAACAACTATTGCATAAAAAATGACTGGAAGGAAACTCAAACTCATTGCAGGGCCTAACTGTGGCTTCCAACAGTGTGGAGTGAGGGCTGGAAGGATAGGGACAAAGGTGGGTGGGGAGAACTGCTCAACTCATCTTTCTATTATTCAGTTTTGGTTTTTGAACCATGTCAACATATTACGTATTGAGAACATTTCAATGTAACGTTGAGAATGGGGGAGTAATAGGGTGTTGCCACAGCCAGAGGGTGGGTGGGAGGGTGGGCCTGGCCTTGCCTGATGAGTTCTTCTGGAGAATGCAAGGCAGCCCATAGCCGAGTTTGAAGTTTCTGCTTGGTCTCCAGAATATTTTTAAAAGATTTTAAGAGAAATTGTTACGTATAAAATCTGGGTAACAAACATAAGTTCAGATGTTTGGGTTTTCTTAAAGGACTCTGAAGCTCTGGCTTCCTGTCAGTGTCTTCCCAGGGCCCCCAGAGATCACCTGGGCACATGTTGCCTAGTTTCTGTGGTGCCTGGTTGGCTGAATCCCTCTGTCACTGACCCATTCGCACAGAGTGTGCTCGTCCCCACCCTCCCAGACTCTAGTTGATGTCCCCAGACAGAAATGATCTGCATGCTGGCAGCTTCTACTGCTTATAAGACATCTTAGCTTCTGGGCTGGGAACTCTGGGATGCTGCCCTGGGCCTGTGACTGCCCCTGCCCACTCACCCTTTGAACTCCAGCTCGCTGGGCACACTGAACTGGCTGTTTGACTGGAGGGTACCACTATGAGACAATGCCATCCCCATGCGGACTGCCTGGAGCAGCTTTGGAACCTTCTTTGCAGCCTGCCCCTCTGAAGTAAGCAAAAGAATGGTTATCAGGTACCCCCACTGGAGTCTGGAGCACCCCCTCCCACCTGGGGCCACCATGTACCTTTGGCCCACAGGGAGGCCGTCTTACTCCTGCTCTCTGGTCCCATAAGAAGCAGAGAAGCTGGAGTCAGGTCTCAGGGGTGCAGTTAGGGGCATGAGACCTTTCTGTCTTTTCCCAGCCTCAAAAGGAGGGTGGATCTTGGGAGGAAAACCCAGTCTGCCCCAAGCCATTGCATTGCCACCCTGGGCTGGAGGGAGGGTCCTGTCCTGAGCCTGAGTTCCTCCAAGGCCCCTGACCATTGGGCATGTGTCTCAGTGAACCACTGATGGATGCCCCGTTCCCTTCTGTACCTTTGTCCCCTGGAGTTGAGAGCATGCTGCTCTCCTTGGAGGTGTCAGCCACCTCCTTGGCCTTTTTGAGAGCCAACTGCTTTTTCTGCTCCTCGAACCACTCCCTGGGCGACAGCTTGTATAGAAACTCCTTGCAGACCTTGTAATGTTGCAGAGTGTCTTCAAATTTAGAGATTTCGCTAAACCCAGGGGAGGAGGATGAGGCTATGCAGGCAAGACCATTCTGCCCTCCACCCCAGCCCCATGAAGGGAGAAGCGCTTGTTTCTGGGGGACATCAGAATGGGGAGGCCTTCCAAGTGAATCTGGGTCTCCTAGTTTACTGTGACAGTCAGGTTCTAGTCTGCCCTATGGGCTTGGTGTGTCTGTCTCTCTGGGTATGCAGCAGAAGTGGCCTTTGGCTAAACCATCCCTACCACCCAGCTGCTGCTTTCCCTGCCTTGGGAAAGCCACTAACTCTCTTACGATCTCCTTGTCTGGAAAATAGGCAATACGATGTCCTGGGGTTCTGAGACAATCTCTTTGGCGACCATGAGAAATGCGAGTGGGAAGCCCAGGTAGAGCCAGCTAAGGGTCCAGCTTGCTGTCTGAACTCCCGTTTGGTCTGGGGCTGTCATCCTTACCTTTTGATGTTCATGATCTGAGTGGTGAGGTCCTTGATCTCAAAGATCATTTCTATCTTTGTTTTGGTCTCCTTCTCAGCCCTGGGGTGGGGTGGGTGCAGGGAGCCGGTTACAGACCATTAAAGGGACAGAGTGAATGGGGATCAGGAAGTGGCAGGGGTGGCCTGGCTGGGGCTGGGCAGGGATGTGGGCAGGGGTGCAGGACCAGGAGACGCAGGGGCGCGGGGTCAGAGTTATGCCCCCGTAGCCTTTGTGGCCCCCAGTCTGCAGGCTCACGCTCTCAGGGCCTGCACCGAGCTGCGGTCATTCTCTCTGAGAAACTCAGCAAACAGGGCTGCATCTTTTTCCAGGGACTTTTCGGCCCATTCTAGCTCAGCCTCCTCCTTGGCTATCAGCATCTCCAGCCGCTGAATTTCATTCTGCTTCATCTCCAGGGCATACTGAGGGCCACCAGAGCCGTCACAGTGCTGTGTCAGACTGGTATGCCCACCGATGGTTTCTCACATGGGCAGCTGGGCCTACCTGGATGAGAAACATCTGCCTCTTGTGGTCGATGTAGCTGTTCATGTTATCCAACTCCATTCTCTTTTCTGTAATGAAATAAGGGAGACATCTGGGGAGAAGGCAGGAAGTCCTGCAGCAAGGAGGGCACTCAGACACCTGGTCTGGAACTCGGCTGTGTGCCCACTGCAGTGACGCGTCCGTGGAAAATGTTGTTCTCATCCTGTCTCCAGCAGAAGAGAAAACACATGTATTACTCTGGCTGGAGACTGTGTAGGGCATGAGTCCTTTAGGCCTGACTTAGCCTTTCTCTTGCCGTAGCATACTTCTCTCTTAGAATGAGGCTTTGGACACCTCACCCTGGAAACGTCACCCAGCTGGCCAGTACATGAAGGAGAACATCTTAACTTGGGGTGCCCTAAGTTCTCAGAGCCTCATTTGGGTGGTAGCAAAGTCTACACTGTTGTTATGTACTGACTCATAGTGACACTGTATAGAGTTCCTGAGGAGCAACTGGTGGGTTTGAACTGTCGACCTTGCAGTTAGCAGGCCAGTGCTTATCCTACAATGCCACCCCAGAGAGGAGAAAACTAAACACATCTGGATGAGCTTCCCAAGTACTCACAGAGAGACAGGGGAGCTGACGATCAAGGTCACCAGGGTCTCATCTTGACCTTTCTATAGGGCAGTGTCTCAGCTCCTGGACTTTGGAGAGCCTGGGGTTATAAAAAGGACCTCAAAACCATGTGGCTCTCTGGCCTTATCACTTGAATCCTTTTCTTTCCAGAAGAAAATCCCTACTGTGGTGGAAAGAGTTCCATTTTAAGAAGTCCCTACCTCCCTGGTGGCCTTTCCCCAAATAGACCCTGCTTCCTCCCTGTAGGTAGGGAATGTCCAGCCCTCGGGCTGTATAGACCCGCAAAATCATTTTGTCTGGTCCTGCCAAGGCAACCGTGGTTCCAGCATCAAGTTAAGTGTTGGCGAGTTGGTTCCAACTCATAGCAACCCTGTATAGGGTTCCTAAGGAGTAGCTGGTGGTTTTAAATGGCCGACTTAATGAAATGTTTGACCAAATATAGCAGGCTAATTTTCAAGTTGGTAATTTTGTATGGCCTGTGAATGATGTTACAAATTTTGGCAGAAAAAAGGTTCCCCACTTCTGCTGCAGATGGATGGTGGGGCACTGAGGCATCTGTCTCCCAGATGAACAGGAAGCCACTTTTCCTGAGGGTCCATACCTGTCTCCTTATTGAACCTCTGATTGGGACCATTTCTATATTTCTATGTTGTTGTTAAGTCCGACTCATAGTGACTAATATACAGCAGAAGGAAACACTGCCTGTACCCTCCTCACGACTGCTGCTTTGCTTGAGCTCATTGATGCTGATACTATGTCAGTTCATCTGGTTGGAGGTCTCCCTCTCTTTTGCTGAACCTCCACTTGACCCAGTATGATGTCCTTCTTCAGGGACTGGTCCCTCCTGATAATATGTCCAGAGTGTGAGAGATGAAGTCTTGCCATCCTGGCTTCTAAGCAGCATTCTTGGCTGTACTTCTTCCAACACAGACTGGTTTGTTCTCTTAGCAGTCCATGGTACTTTTAATATTCTTCTTCAACATCATAATTCAAATGCATCAATATTTCCATCAGAAGGCACAAGTCGCTATCCAAATACCACCTGACTTTCACAGGTATTAGGAATAGGTGGACAGCCTAACTTAAAAGTCCAGTGAGGGATGTTTTAATGGCTGAGTTTGATACAAAAAACATCCACGTGAACTCGGGTTTCCTAGTGAAAATAACCAGCCACCTGGGACATCCCTTTGGCATTTTATACTTACACTTAGTATGCATGTAATCCTACTATGTTCTGGATTCTCTGGTCCCAATTATTTCCTTCTAACATTGTGATATTGCATTTTATGATCTGGGTTGCTAGAATATTAATGTGTATTTACTAAGTAAGATTTCCTACCAGGAACTACTATTAATAATAATGCACATATGTGTAGTTCAGTCTTACTCTGTGGTGGGCAGAATTCCAAGCATGTTAGATGCAAGAACACATTCAATCTCTATGAGCACGTGAGGCTGGCCAAGGAGGAAACTGAAGTGCATAGGGAATTGAGTGACTTGCCCACCCACCACCACACAGCAGGCAGATGGAGGTTGAGGGTGAAGATGTGAACCCAATCAATCTAGTACAGGAGCCAAGCTACCTGTATTCACTTGTGGTGGCCAACATTCAGAAAGCAAACAGTGTTGTGATTCACATGGCTTCCTCGACAAAAGCCCTTTAATTTTATAATCCATTTGAACTTTAAATGTTTGTGATGAGAGTGAGCGGTCGGAGTCAGGTCCTTGTTTTTTAGGCAGATATCCAGTTAGCCTGGCCCCACTTCTTTCAAAGCCCTTTAAAACAATTATAGCCCTGATATGACCAATGGCACCAGAGTTCCCGCATCTGTGAAAACAGGGCCTTCCCCCCACCCCCACCCCGCACAGCCCATGAAGGGCTCAGTGTCTCCTGACATTGGGCTGCTGGTGGGGACGGGAGTGCGGTGATGGTGATGATGGTGGGTGAGGTGGTACGAGGGATGCTACCTTTGGTGATGGCGAGCTTCCACGCTGTGTTTTCTCGGAAGGCATTCAGCTGTACAGTCTCTGCTTGAATCTCACGCTCCAACTTTTCCTCCTCCAGCTGCAGCTCTCGCCGTAGGCTCGTGTGCTTGGCTGACATCTTGGAGGAGTACGTCATCTTTTCGTGCACCTGCATGGTTTTCTTCTGCTCCCGATCCTGGGGAAGCATGGGACCATGTCAGGGTGAGACCATGCCTGCAGGCCCAGCCTCCATTCATCTCCATCTTGTCCCCTAGCCTTATGGTTGGGGGATGGGGAGACACATTGTTTGAGGAATGGAGATGGTGTCTTTGTGTGTACCAGGGGAATTTGGAGTCACATAGGCATGGCAGGACAGCAAGTGGAGAGACACAAGGCACCCAGAGGGACAGTAGCTGCCAGGTGACTCCGCTTACTACCTAAGAACAAAATCCAGGTAGAGTTGCCAGATAAAATGCAGGATGCCTAGTGCAACTTGACTGTGAACTAAATATTGCATGGACAGAAAAGGGGGCTTCAAAAAAACTCAGGGAAATGTTCCATTATCATTTATTTACATTTGTCCACAAACTTTTAGAAATACCTTCATACATGTACTAAAAGATCATCCCTTGTTTATCTGAAATCCACATTTAACTGCATTTTCTGTCATTTGATTTACTAAATCTGACCACCTTTGGTTCAGACCTTCTGAATTTCCAAAAGATACTTGAAATCCAGAGTCTGAGTTGACAGTCTTCATTTAGTTTCCCCCACCCTTTCTCATCTACCCCTTCCTGCTCTACTCTGGACCCTCTTGCCCTCCTCTCCTGGGGCCTAGGCCCAGATTCAGGGGTGGGTCTCTGGCAGTCAGGCCCACCAGCCCTCTGTATTAGACCCTGGTGTGTGGGACATGTTGGTTGGCCCCCACGCCCCTGGGGGTGGGAGCTAGGGCTGTAGGACTGAGACAGAGGACTTGGGAGCCAGAGAGGGAGAGGAGGACTGAGGCTGGGCCAGGCCTGGAGAAGCGGGAAAGCCTGCAATGGAGAGATAAAGGAAGGGTTTCCATGGTGGAGGTCTGAGAGTTTGTGTGTGAGCTTGAGTCACTATTCCACCTGCTCCACGGGAGCTTAGGGACTGCTGGGTGAGAGCTCCTTCCAGGTAAACCTCTCACCAATGTTTCTGAGTCAGTCCAGGGGGGCAGGCCAGTAATGCGCATTTCTAACAAGTTCCCAGCTAGTGTTGTCTGCTGTTGACCAGGGAGGGACTCCCTGAGAACCACAGTTCTAGGGAATGCCGGGAGCACTGAGGCTAGGACCCTTAGTGGAATGTTGGTTGAGGGATTTCACATGTGAATGCTAGCAGTGTATCCCCTTCACCCAGGCTAAGGGAGGCTTCAGCCCAAAGCAAGGAGGACAAGACTCCCTCCTTTGACCACCAGGGCCACTTCTCAGGACCGTGCATATGGTTGGTTCTAGTCAGACCTCTCTGGACTGGCCTGGATGTTGCAAGGGGAGTGAGCTGTCTTGCCTTCTGGGCATGCAGCTCTCAGAGATGGAAAAGCAAGCGAATCCATGTTAGGGTACAAAGAATAGTTTATGGAGTTGGAGCTGGCCTAGCAACTGCCAGGCATTGCTGAGGGTATTCGTGAGTGCACACATCTGTGTGTGTATCTGGCTTCCAGGAACTCCAGTGTGAGAGGACGGAGAATAGAGAGTCAGGGTGGCTCCTAGGGGACGTGAGCCAAGGGGTAGGGTCAGCATAGTCCCCTGAAGCACAGGGACTTGGGAGGGAGTGGCATCTCACGCAGGGAGCAGCAGAGGAGGAGGCCTGGTGGTTGAGCTTGTAAACATGCGCAGCTCTAAGGAGTCAGTTCTAATGGAGGCACAGGGACAGTGGAGACCAGGTCAGACATGTGAGAACTAGGAAGAATGTTAGTTTGAATTTGGAGGAAATGGTGAGCCATTGATTGTTCTTGAGTGGGAAATGACCCAAGGACAGTGCTGTTTTGAGAAGGGAAATCTAACTGGGAGCCAAAAGATTTGGGGGCAAGGAAGTTGCAACAAGTGGGTAGGAGACAGTCCCAGTCTCAGTGCTGGGTACTCACCAATCGAGCCTTATTCCGTTCCTGGTCTCTGAACATGAAGAAATCCACATCTCCAGATATGTGGAAAGGGTTAGTTGAACGGACTGGAACAGCCACAGGCACTGGGGAAGGAGACACCTTAGTTGGGCTAGGGGGTGAAGGAAGGGGGGCAAATATTCTCCCAGTCTGTGCAGAGAAGACTAGAGTAGGTACCAGGAAGCTTCCGGGAAAGTCCTCGTGGATGCACCCCTGGGCTTCCCAGCTGCCTGGGTCAGTAACTTACCTTTCTCTCTGTTGCTGGCACCTGAGAGACCTCAGGGGCATAGACACTTGTGTTTCTTAGCATCTGCTATGTCCCTGTGCTCAGTCACAATTGCCACCATCACGTCTCATTAAAATCTTAGGAAAATCCACCAAGGGTGCCTTTCATTGTAAGTGACATTGCCAGCAACCGTCCAAGCTGGCCTGACCCTGTGCCTTGTGCAGTGAGCTCTGTCTTTTCAGGAATCTTAGGAGTTTCCCAGGGGAAGGTCAGGCTCAGGGTAGAGGAGGGAGGAGTGCCAGGGCCTGGGCGGCAAGCCAGGAATTTTGTAGGTGGAACTTTCAGGGATTGCGGCCCCCCAGGGGCTAAAGGAGAAGCTGGCAGAGTGGAGAGATGAGTGGTCTCCAGGGGGCTCAGAACTGTGTCGGGAAGGACAGAATCCAGGGGGTGCCAAACCTGCTCCCAATCTTTAGAAAAAAGAATTGCTTAAAAAGCATGATTGCTTTTCCTCTCCTATCCCTGATTAGAATCCTGGTTGATGCTGTAGGCTCAGCATTGGACTGCTAACTGCAAATCGGTGGTTCAAATCCACCAGCTGCTCCTTGGAAACTCTATACAGGGTTGCTATGTGTTGGAACAGACTCCACAGCAATTAACAACAACCACCCCTGATTTAGAAGATATGGAATTCATTGTAAAAACAACTGAAAGTTAATAGAGTGTAATAAACAATTCCTCCACTTTGCAATAGTTGCTGAATGCATTTTGGGGGTATTTTTCAATATATATTTTTAACACTCTTACAGCTATCCTTTTTTTTTTTTTTAAATGCATTTTACTATAACAGTTCCTTGTGCTATTACAAATTCTTTATGAATGTTGTAAGCAAATATTATGGTTGCAGCGAAGTACAATTTCATCCCAATCTACTCGGCTGTCTACAGGTGATGGTGGCTGATGAAACAGACATGTCCCGTGGCATAGCTCTGTGCCCACTGCCAGACAGCTCATTAGAATGTATTTTCGAGATGAGATTAGAGGCAGGACTGTGAGCAGCTTTGAGGCGTTGGAGACAGATGCTAGGCTTGTCCCATTCTCCCCTAGCCCTGGCACAGAGTACTGTTGCAAAAGATTTTAAAGTTATGCTCAGAGAGTCTCAAAGTATCAACAGATACTTCATAGTTGCCCAGAAGGATCACCTGGGATCTGCATTATGTATGACCCTTGCCTGATTTCTGAGCTATTCCTGCCTATAATGCTTCATCTGAACCTCAGAGTGAGCAAAACAAAGATGAAACATAGGCACGGAGTGGAGAAAGGAGTCAGCAGGAATCCTAGGGATGCTGGTGGGTGGGCTTGCAATAGGGTGAAGGGTCAGGATGGGACATCAAAACAGGGAAGAGTGTGGGCAATGCTGGTCGGAGATTGATGACGAACCTGGAGGGAACAGAGGCCTGGGGAGGGGCTTGTGGAGGAGTGGACATTTGTTCTGCTTACATTTTCTGTGATTATCAATTTTGCATGTGGACTTTAAGTCCAAGAGAGAGTTGACAATAGCTTTGCAGGAGGGCCTCTCAGGCAGTTCTAGTGAGTCCAGGAAACCAGACTGGGATGGTGAACTGAGCGCACGAGCTTGTCTTCTCCTACCTGTCCCCAACGCAGCCCACAGGAAAGACATGAAAAGAAATTTTAGATATCTATAATATCCCTAGAAAACAAAAAGAGGTCACACTGGTGTGTCAGGATCACTAGGAATCTGAAAGAAGAGGCAGATGGGATGGGGTAGAGGGAGGAAGCATGGAAGTTGCAGGGCGGAGCTGTGTGAAGTGGGAGCCTCAGAGGGTGCAGAAATGGGCGCATGTGGCCCGGACAAGTATGACATGAGAAGCTGGTGCAGGAATTCACAGCAGCCGGGCACCCTGCTCACACCCCAGCCTCACGTTCTCTCACTGACCAGCAACCGCGGGCAGAGGCATGTGCCCTACGTTCAGAATAGTGAGGTGTTTGGGTCAGTGAGATCTTTCTGTCCACACACTGGCCCTTCTCTCCCGTGGACAGCATGTCTTATATCTCTGTCCAAGAAAGAAATGAGGAAAGCTTGCAAACACTGGACATGTGTCAGGTGCCAGCCTGAGCGCTGTCCTGGACTCACTTTTCATAACAACCTTGTTGGCAGAAATTATTTTCATCCCTATTTTACCAGTGAGGAAACAGAGGCACACCGAGGTGAGAGATTAACCCAAGGTCACACAGCTATGGTAGTTAGATGGAGATGATGAGCTCACAAGGAAGAATGAAAATCATTGGAAGCCATTCATTCTAGAAATGCAAAGTTGTCTTACTGAACATTTACAAGTCAGTGTAATATATCAAACGGGTATTAACAGATGAAGGAGAAATTTATTTCCATACTTTCCAATAACTAATGTATCAATAGAAGCAGTAAGAGCATTTGGTAAAATTTAAAACTATTTTTGATAAAAGTCTTAGCAACCTAGCAATAACAGGGAACTTACTCCATCTGATAAAATGTATTGTTGTTAAGTGCTGCTGCCTCTGTTCCTACTCATAGCCACTCTGTATAGGGTTTCCGAGGAGCAGTTGGTGGGTTTGAACCACTGATCCTGTGGTTTGCAGCCCAGTGCTGATCGTTCAGCACTACACCAGGAGTTCTGTAAGCTGGATATATGACCCCCCATACTCATAGATTGGGGAATTATGATGTTACTTTACATGACAAAGGCACTTTTAGATGTGATTCATTTAAGAATCTTGAGATAGGGAGATGATCCTAGATTTTCCAAGTGGGGCCCATTATAATCACAATGTAATCATGTAAGAGGGCTGAAGGAGGGTCAGAGCAGGAAAACAAGATGTGTCATTAGAAGTAGAAGCTGGAGTGATGTGAGGTAGGATGGAAGACTCTATACTACTGGCTTTGAAGAAATGTGGATGTCTCCAGAAACAAGAAAAGCAAGGAAACCCAGCCTTGCTGACACCTTAAACTTAGTCCTCTAATACTCATTAAGGACTTCTAATATTCAGAACTACAAAATAATAAAATTGCATTGTTTTAAGTCACTACGTTTGTAGTGATTTGTTGCAGGAGGACGAAGACAAGCAGTGGACTGCTAATCACAAGGTTGGAAGTTCAAACCCATCAGACGCTCCTCGGGAACCCTATACAGGGTTGGTATGAGTCCTATGTCACAACAATGAATGAGAAACCTATACCTAACATTGTATGAATGGGCTTCAAAAAGTTTGTGGAGAAATGGGATTGAAAGATAATGGAACTTTTTCATTAAAAAAAACCCTGAAATCCCCTTGAATTTAGTGGTGAAATGTTGAATGTTTTGCTCCAAGACAGGGAACAAGGCAAAGACATCTACTCAACACTTCAACACTGTATTGAGAGTCTTGGCTGGTACAATAATGTAAGAAAAAGAAGTAAAGGATGGAGTGGTCAGAAATATGGCACCATGACTCCTCCCATTAAAGGTGGCATCATTCTATAGAGGAGTTCTTAAGCAAGACACAAAAAGCAGCAACCCGAAAGGAAGGGATTGGTTAACTGAACTGCATTAAAAACAGAATCGTTTGTTCTTTAAAAAGAGTGAAAAGGCAATCTCCTGTTCACTTCTGCCCCTGAGGAGAATGAGAAGGTATTTGCAATCTTTGTAACTGACAAATGACTCTTGTACCTAGAGAAATGAAGATCCTCTGGAAAACAAAGAGACTGAAAACTTAATAGAAAGTTGGCACTTCACAATACAGAATAATGCAATGACTGTGTGATGCTGTAGGGTAAGCATTTGACTGCAAGGTCCATTTAAACCACAAGGTCGGTGGTTCAAACCCATGAGCTGTTCCTCAGAAAACCTATACTAGGGTCGCTATGAGTTGGAACTGACTTGATGGCACTTAAAACAACAATAAACCCTTATTGGTCACCAGGGATTATAAAATGGCATTGTAGGACAAGCACCTGACCATAGGTTTGTTTGAACCACAAGGCCAGTGATTCAAACTCACCAGTTGCTCCTCAGAAATCCTAAACAGGGTTGCTGTGAGTCGGAATTGACCCGATGGCACTTAACAACAACAACCATTTCTATCCAATGTTTTTATGTTGTTAAGTGCTGCCAAGTTGGTTCTGATTCATCCGATTCATATCAACCCTGTTTAGGGTTTCTAAGGAATGGCAGGTGGGTTTTTGAATGGCTGACCTTGCGGTGAGCAATCTAGTGCTGATCCTACAGGTCCATGCTAGAACTCCGATGTTACTGTTAAGTGCCTCTGAGTTGGTTCTGAATCATAGCGACCTTGTATAGGGTTTCTGAGGAGCAGCTGTTAGGTTTGAACTGCTGACCTTGTGGTTTGAAGCTTAGTGCTGATTCTGCAGCACCAAACCAGGATTCCCCAGAACTCGAACAGACTATTTAAAATTAAAAGCACTGGTAATAAACCAAGGGTTGGGAAGGATATGGAGCATCTGAAATTTTCATGCCTGTTGGTGGGATTGTAAATTGGTATACTCTGCAAAACTATTCAGTTTTATCAATTCAAGTTAAATATAGGACGACCATTCCTGGGTACATACCCAAGAGAAACGAGTGTTTATGCCCATGAAATGATGTGCCCTAGCATATTTATAGCCATGTTATCTGTCATAGCTAAATACTAGAAATAACCCAAACGTGTATGCACTATGTTGTTATTAAGTACCATCCAGTCAGTTCTGTCCTAGCAACCCAATGTACAATAGAACAAAACAGTGCCAGCCCTGAGTCATCACCACAATTGTTTGGTTTGAGCCCACTGTTGCTGCTACTTTGTCAATCTAGTTTGTTGGGAAAT